GGTACTTTCACGACACGAACCGATCGCTCTGGGGCGGCTGGGTCGTCCAAGGCGTCGGCGGCTCGTTCTACTTTTCCGGCGACACGGCCTACTGCTCGTCCTTCAAGGCGATTGGTCACCGGTTCGGCGAATTCAGCGTCTCGGCCATTCCGATTGGCGCGTACGGACCGCGCGAAGTACTCCACAACCAGCACTGCGACGTAGCGCAAGCGATCCAGATCCACAAGGACGTTTCGAGCCGGTCGTCGCTCGGGATTCACTGGGGCACGTGGGTCCTCACCGACGAGCACTATCTGGAGCCCAAGCACGATCTGCAGCGGCTCATGGCCGACGAAGACGACGCCGATGCATTCTACACCCTCGACCACGGCGCGTCACGGATTGTGCCGTGGCGACTGTAATTCATTGCCCGTAATAGATACCTTGATATAGACTAGCTACGATGATTGCACTAATCTGGCGCCGCGTCATCGCACCAAGCGCCGTGCTTCGCCTTCTTGGGAACCGTTCCGCGGGCTTGGAAGCCTTCCCTGGAGTCTTCCTCGGAGCTTCTTAGGGTCTGTCGCGCTTGGAGTTGAGGTGGAAATGACATGCAGTGTGGCGCACGATCGACCGACTTCCAGAGGCTTCGGCTGACGGCACTTTACCCTATCCGCATGGCGTTAAAGTCTGACGTGGCGCCATTTAAGAGTGCCTCTGAGTCAATGACCTAGCGTTAAACGTCCTGAGCACCAATAGATGAAACGGACCTACCACCATTTTGACTTTATCCATGGAGTCGGCCGACCTTGCCCGCGACTTGGCGCCGGCCCAGCGCGACGCGTCGACGGGGGCGTTTCTTCACCCGCCGCACTGGGGCTTTCGCATGGTGACGTTCATGGACTTTGCTCGGTGGAAGTGGAGCACAACCGCGCTCGGACCGCAAGTGCCCACGGACGCCGCCGAGCTCGACAAGGTGCTGCCGGTGCGGACGCCAAACTTTGGCCCTCAAATTCCGACTGGCAAAGCGCGCATTACGTGGCTCGGCCATGCCTCCGTGCTCCTCGAAGTCCCTGTCGGTGCTGATGGAACGACCGCCACCATTCTTACGGACCCCGTCTTTGTCGAGCGTTGCAGCCCATTCCAGTGGGTTGGCCCCAAACGGTACCGCCCCGCGCCGCTTCAAGTTGCGGACCTTCCGCGCATCGATGCGGTTGTGCTGAGCCACAACCACTACGACCACATGGAGACTACAACGCTCACGCAGCTCCGTCTACGGTTCCCAGACCTGCAATGGTTTGTGCCGTTGGGCAACGCCCACTACTTGACGCCGCTCGGTATTCCACGCAGCCGGATCACGGAGCAAAACTGGTGGGACTCGACGACGATTTCGCTCCACGGCGCAGCCTTTACGTTTTCCCTTGTCCCGGTCATGCACTGGACGCGCCGCGGAGTGCTCGACACAAACAAGGCGCTTTGGGGCGGCTGGGTCGTCCAAGGTCTTGGCGGCTCCTTCTTCTTCTCGGGTGATACGGCCTACTGCTCGGCGTTCAAAGCCATTGGCCACAAGTTTGGCGGCTTCAGCGTCTCGGCGATCCCGATTGGCGCCTACGGCCCGCGCGAGGTCTTTAGCGTGCAGCATTGCGACGTGCCCGAAGCGATCCAGATCCACAAGGACGTCCAAAGTCATTCGTCGCTCGGAATTCACTGGGGTACGTGGGTCATGACGGAAGAGTACTATCTCGAGCCGAAAATGGAACTGGAGCGGCTCATGGCGTGCGAGGTACCCGACTCATTTTACACCCTCGACCACGG